CACACACACACACACACACACACACACACACACACACACACACACACACACACACACACACACACACACACACACACACACACACACCAACGTGCAATATCACTGACCACACTGCACCTCTCAATGCACCTGCTAGTTGGATGGCATGTATGTGTATGGATATAGATGTAAGCGTGTATGTGGAAATATGTGTGTGTATGTACGTATGCATATATGTATATATTCATATATGTATGTATGTGTGTGTGTGTTGCTGGTGTATGTATAACTTGTACATATCTTTCTTGTGTAAATGTAAATTTGTTGTGTATATACTTTCGCTATTGTGTACTTCACACACATGGAGAGATGCCAAACTGCCTTTCATTGTTCTTGTAACAGTAACAATAAAAAAGCTATTCTATCCGATTCTATTCTATTCTAGATGCGCTGCTACCCGAAGTCACTAGATGTCATTGTTGGCTGCTTAGACTTGAAATCCTGTAAATGATGCCGTTAGAAGATTAAAAAACTTCTCTATTTTTACATTCATAACATACAAGTCTACTGAAATTTAAAAATAGTTATAAAATAGAAATACTGTACGTAACTAAACTTCAAAAAGAGTCTAACACTTGGTAAATGTGGCGGTTTTTTTTTAGTTAGGATAAGTATTTACAGAGCGATATAAAGGGATTTTTGTCTTTTAAAGGGCAGCTTATTGCATGTGAACACACAGTACCATAATGAACTACAGTACCAAGTAAAATCTGCTGCAAACAAAGAGCACAACACGACAGAACAGTGCACGAATCCCTCCCTTTCAGTGTAGTTTTATGACCTGTGGGCACTGCGCAGTCGCATTGACACAAGGGTACACAGCGGCAGCAGGGCGTTTCTTCTGTATAGAAAAGAGGGGAGGGTACAAGAAGGGTACATACTAAACATGGAACGCAGAGCATGTTGAATTTCCGTGTAGCTATTTTTTTTTTCAGAGGAAACGCATTTGAAGGTAAATATGAGTTTTCATCCTTCAACATCACTTTGCATCAGCAGTTTAGTGTCGGGCTGCACTTTGCCAATCGCGTTTGTCCTCCTGGCATGAACTTCTTCTTTTTTAAGAGCAGAACTGGAAGTTTGTGAGTT